CCTGACACCTTTGCTTATGCCTTGTTCACTCCTACTCCCAAAGTTGCATGCTACTTCTCAGCCATGTTCTGTGACTCACCTGATTCAAATCGGACTGTTACTTGGACTTGCCTGTAGGGTAAGTCCAAGTAGGGTGTACACAATGCATTTTTTCCTATATGTTCAATTCAATTCAAACAATGGCTAAATGTCTACATGTTCAATTCAATTCAAACAATGGCTAAATGTCTACATGTTCAATTCAATTCAAACAATGGCTAAATGTCTACATGTTCAATTCAATTCAAACAATGGCTAAATGTCTGGTTACATAGTGTTCACTATCTATGGCCTTCATACTAGGCGTTCCAACACCCTCAAGTAGAATTGACAGTTATATTTTATTTATTTTGTAATATTGGCTAAAAATATTTGGACTATATTTTATTTATTTTATAATAGTACCCTACGGACTGTTACTTGGACTCACCCGGTAGGGTAAGTCCAAGTAAGGTGTACACAATGCATTTTTGCCTATATGTTCAATTCAATTGTTCAATTCAATTCAAACAATGGCTAAATGTCTGGTTACTTAGTGTTCACTATCTATGGCCTTCATACTAGGCGTTCGAACACCCTCAAGTAGAATTGACAGTTATATTTTATTTATTTTGTAATCCATTTTTGCCTATATGTTAAATTCAATTCAAACAATGGCTAAAAATACTTGCTCATGTAGAATTGACAGTTATATTTTATTTATTTCGTAATATTGGCTAAAAAATACTTGCTCATGGGAGGGTTCGATCCCCTAACCTCCCATAGAGGGTCCACAACATCTACCGACGTGTCATTTGTGTGGAGTTCAACCTACTAGCTGATAGTTCTAGTAAATGCTCATTAGCTCAAATTCCCATCAATTCAAAATGAATATAAGCCAATCTAATGATTATGATTGTATTTTGTAGTTAATTTTTTTTGAACCAATCTAAATTATTTTAAGTTAGGAGTATCTACTATTGAAAAATACGTGCAACTAATAAAAATATTAAAAAAATATTTCGTAAAAATAAATTGATCAAAATACCCTTTAAACTTTTAGGGTGGGTCAATTTTTTTTTTTAAGGTGATATTTTACATATTTTTATTAGGTACACCTTAATGAGAAGAATGAATGTCCCAAATTTTATGTGATTTAAATTAGTAAAAAAATATTAAAAATACGAAATACAATTGTGACGGTCAGATCGATCCAAATTCAATCTATAACATTGAACTTACATTATTCCATCAGCCCTTTGTCTTTTCTTTTATTTTTTAACGGGTTAAACTCACCCGAGTATGTCACCCCACCCAACGGGCGAGTACCCTGACTGAGTGAGTCTCGGTACTTCACTCTCAACCATACTCCAAGGGTTCATTTTCAATTCCCCTAAGGCATTAGGTATTTATAGGACTTTGGGGAGTTATCTGAAGATTCCCCAGGATTTCAGGTAACCTAGGGAGTAAGATTAGAGTAAACAGCACAAATTACCCTTTTGAACCTGTTCTGCACCCACCAGCTGTTGGCAACCTTTGCTGGCAAATGGGTTACTACATGCAAATTCGCTTCAAACTTGAAGTTTACAGAGTCCAATTCTTCATTGATCTTCAAATTTAGTTAGCTTCCATTTGATCCGAGTCCAATGCAAAATTACCTCATATCTTGGGAGAATCGAATTGATCACTGCTCAATGTGCAGCAGTATATAGCAGCCCCAAAAGACAAAAAATGCTTCGCTTTAATCTTCAGCTCAC